AACATTGTTTCACTGACATGCAATCATGAAAGTTTGTAAGTTTGTAACTGTATCTCATAGTGATCCATTAAAATAAATAAATAAATGTTAAAAATAAAAAAAGAATAAAATCACATAGCATATAATACAAAAATAAATAGCTCAGCTTCGGAGTCTCAGAAAATTTATCATATATAGGCCTTTAAAAAAATTTGAAGATGCAGAAGGAAAGCAGTTTGCTACAATGTCACTAACATCAGTAGTTCCCCCAAAACAAATTTTTAAAAGATGAATATCCCTGTTCCCACATTTCAGGTTTCCACTGTGTTTTTACTGCCATCTAAATCTTCAGTCATTGGTAGAAGCAAACATATCATTTCTGTCCTCTTCACCTCTTCACTCTCAACTATTTATTTTGGGGGGGGAGGTCACACCTGGCAATGCACAGGGGTTACTCCTGGCTCTTCACTCAGGAGTTACTCCTGGTGGTGCTCAGGGGACCATATGGGATGCTGGAAATCGAACCTGGGTTGGCCGCGTGCAAGGCAAACTCCCTACCCGCTGTGCTATCTCCCCAGCCCCTCAACTATTCTTTTAAGGTATGATATATTCAATTCAATTTATACCAGAGAGTGATATATTTGTAGCAAGTTATGCAATAAATTCCATATGGCCACTGCTTAGAACTCTAGGCCATTTGTTAGACAGGAACAAATGGAACAGTTGGTTGCCCCTAGAATTCACCAGTCATGACCTTCCTTATCACTGTGTTTGGACCAGCGTAGATGCACTAGCAAATAAGCAAACTGAATTTAAATGTTAAAAACACTGTACAGAATTTAAAGCAAAACTAAAATTTTATTTATAAAAAATAAAAAACCTATAACACTGCTTTTGAGGAAGAGATGAAACAATTACCTAGAAAAGATCTTGTGGTACTTAAAAGGACTTCAGTTTCTTTTATATGTTTTATTTTACTCGATATAGAGTATTCAGATAATATTTGAAACATAAATAGGACATCTTTTGTCCTATTTCCCATTTGTAAAATATAAACACAATGTAAAATATTTGTAAAATATAAACACAATGTATTTCTAAGTCTAAGATGAAACCATTCTTTAAAATACTATTTTCTGTTCACTATTTCTGTAAAAAAAAAAGTGTTATCTTAAAGTAAATGAAGTCAAATTCATTTAACAATAATAATAACAGGGCAATCTTATATGAATTAGAAATATTTGTTAATTATGTTTCTAAACTGAAAAAAAATTAAAATCCTTTGCTTCATTTATTGACAATAAAAAAGAATTTTCCGAAATTTGAATTTTAACAGTAGTGACAAGTGATTCCAAAAGTACTCAGTTGCTTTTTTGCATAATCTCAATAAATTGAAAATGTTTGTTCAATCTACAAGAAACAATCTTGTTTACTGTACAAAATTTAAAGCAAAACTAAAATTTTATTTATAAAAAATTAAAAACCTATAACACTGCTTTTGAGGAAGAGATGAAACAATTACCTAGAAAAGATCTTGTGGTACTTAAAAGGACTTTAGTTTCTTTTATATGTTTTATTTTACTAGATATAGAGTAAGTAAGTAAAGGCCCTCCCGTTGATCATCGATTTGCTCGAGCGGGCCCAGTAACGTCTCCATTGGAGACTTTGTTGTTACTGTGTGTGGCATATCGAATACTCTCGGTAGCTTGCCGGGCTCTCCGAGAGGGGCGGAGGAATCGAACTCGGGTTGGCCATGTTGGCCACTTGTAAGGCGAACGCCCTACCGCTGTGCTATCGCTCCAGCAGATATCGCTTCTCGGCCTTTTGGCTAAGATCAAGTGTAGTGTAGATATAGAGTATTCAGATAATATTTGAAACATAAAATATTATTGTATAAGGCAGAAATATTTGGTTCAGATGAGATTGTGAATATTCTTTCTTTCCCATTCAAGCTTAACTAAAATAGCATATGCAAGGTTTGTATTCCAGAACACATCAGCTAACATTTGTCACAAATTGCTGTTTTAAGATGTATTAACATTAATTCTTCCAATTTTGACAACAATCCTGTGAAGTAGGAAAGATGAAAACTGTAATTCATATTTTATAAATGAAAAAATGACAAAGCTTGGAGATTCTGACCCTTACCCAAGATTATGGCCAATAAATATCAGAATCAAGTACCAGTATTTGGGTTGGTTCGTATGTTATTTTTTTAGTGACTTGTTTTGTGTTCATAAGAATTTTCTTATTTCCCCAATAGTCACAATACTAGATCTTTGTGCAAACACTACATGAGCTCTGGGGGTTTTGTTGCAAATAATCCATCATTTATGCAAATGTCTCTGATTGCAGTATAAATTGTTACTAAATTTAACCAAAGGCACATCAGACCTGCATAACTATTTAAGCTCCCAAAACGGGAGTGAAGATGCAAGGAGATGACTTGACTAAAATGCAGTTTTTGTATCAAGTTCTATTCAATAATGATCGTGACCAGGGAGAAAGATGGAGTTAGAAAGGAAATAGCAAAATACTAGCTAATGACTAGAACATGAAGTAAGAAAAAAAGATTTCAATAGAAAAAAATAATTTGATTCAAAGGATTATCTGAATATTATTTCTAACCGAGAAAACTAAGAGGTTCAGATTTATTTAAAGCTTGGGTTTCTATTTAATAGAGTACTGAATGTCTAGTCACATATAGAGCTGTCTCTAAGTAATGAAGATTTTTGGGTTGACATGCTGCCAAGATGCACCACAACTAAAACAAGAATAAGAATTAAGTCTAAAATAAAATAATAGTTATCTGAGTTAAAATAAGAATTATCTGAATTTTCACCTCACACCATGCATCAAAAAGAGTAAGTGTTGGGGTGGATGCAGGGAGAAAGGGAACCTTGTTCACTGATGGTGTAAATGTCAACTAGCCCAGCCTTTCTGGAAAATAATATGGAAATTCCTCAAAACACTAAGAATTGAGCTCCCATTTGATCCAGCAATTCCATTCTTTGGAATATACCCCAAGCCCCCACCCCCAAAATAAAACAACAGAGAAAATATATTTGTACCACTATGTTCCTTGCATCTCTACACACAATAGCCAAAATCTGTAAATGTCCAAGAGTATAAAGAAACTATGGTACATATACACATTGGAATATTACTTGACCATGAAAAAGATAAAATTGATCAATTATCTGTTATGTGAAAAGTATCACGCTAAGCAAAGTCAGCCAGAGGGAGAGAGATTGATGCAGAATGATCAATCTCTCATATATGGGATATAAAGAAATAAAATGGTGGGGTAACATGCCCAAAGGCATTGGAAACAATGAACATGAGAAGTGGTATTCCGTAAGAAGCATGCCACTTGAGGGGCTGGGGATTGGAGTGGAAATATATGAGGGGGCGTTACTACACCAATAATGGAGGGAAGTATTAAACTGGGAGAAGGAGGGTGATTTCAAATGTAATAAAATATTATGTATGAAACCCTATTAGCAATAGTCCTGTAAACCACAGTGCTAAGAGTTATTTTTTAAAAAAATTTTTTCATAGAGTCAGACTTGGGGATGGGAAGGAAACAGTGAGGGCACTTGTAGAGGAAAGTGGACACTGGTGAAGGCATAGGTGTTGGAACATAGTATTCCTGAAACCAATTCATTACTTCGTAATTCACAGTGACTAAATTAAATTTTAAAAAGATATATCATCTGAGTTCTTTCTGTGGAATCTGTCATTTTCGTGAAGTACACTCAGCAAATATCACTTATTCATTGTCTTTAAGTATATAGTACATGCATCTTATTCAATCAAATGTCGGTAAATAAACATGTATAAATGAGATAAAAAATATTTGAAAATTATTTTGTAATGATAAAGAAATTTAGTGATAGATCATCAAATTCTGATTCATGATTTCAGCAAGAGTATATTTAATTTTCATTAGCTGAATAGTTCCCACAAGTGATGCTGGTGTGGGCCTTCTTTTCCTTATCTGTAAATAGCAAAGGCTCAGTCTCTGTCAGAGTTATGTATTTAAGCTCAATGCTCAATATTTCATTAGAATATTATATTCTATTATAATTAAATCTTATTATATATTAGAACTTAATACGTATTATTCTATGTGTTTCAATTTAGGAGCAATCTTTAATTCAAAGACTAGTTTACCCTGGCATTCTTAAAATGTATCATTTTATCTGATCTTCACTTATATATATATATTATGTTCCCACTATCAAACTCTTTTTGCCCATACTTATTGCTTTTACTTGCAGTCATCTCAGCAACAACTCTAGCTTGGTTACAAATTTATGTCATGACTTTTACTGTCTTTTATTTCTAGAAGCAGTAGTTAAATATCAGATTAAAATCATCCCTCTTGAATAAATAAATGTTTGTGCAGAGAAAATCATAGTCCTTTATCCGGAATAATAATGCAGCCTCTCTTTTTACAGGAAATTGAAAATAAAACCTCAACAAATGGATGCAACCATTCAGAATGACTCTCAAGTGGGCAGTGCTGAAAATTGATCTAGTTACTTGTCGATTGCATTATTCAGAGATGACATAAGCAGCAAAGCTAAAGTCAATACTGACTATTCTGGTGCATTGTCTACCCCATGACAACTTTTTATAAATTAAAAAAAATACTCTGAAAATATATAACTTTCTCCGGGCTGAAATTTGAGCTTCGATTCCTAATTAAACACCTTATACCAACCTCATTAATAGGCATAAAAACAGATTATGATAACACATATATATGGCAGCAAATACTAACAAAACATTTTGTAGCATATCATCATCAAAATGTCATTTTAGTTGAAAGCAGACTGTTGTCTGAGACACTTCCTTTATTCATTTTTGATTTGTTATGATCCACTTTAGGAAGTGCCTTGTTAGATTTTTGCTAGCTGAATTGAATTTAAATATGTTGACAATGATATACTCTCTACATTCTTCAAACAATTCTATTCTCCTCCATCAGTGTGAAATACATCATATTTCTTTACCTGGGGGGTTATGTTCATTGAGAATCACAAGTGATGCTGGTGTGGGTCTTCTTTTCCTTATCTGTAAATAACAAAGGCCCAGTCTCTGTCAGTGAGCATCAAACATAGCTCCATTTTACTTTCACGTTTCATCACTATCCTATGCTCATCTTTTCCTTAAAAACTGAAAGCATGTTTCTGAGGCACACATAGCTGGATTTCATTTGTTTTATTTTGAATCAGTAAAATTGTGAGATAGTGTTACTCTTCTGTGAGTGATAACAAAAAGCTACCTATCCACAGAAAAGAATGGTTCGACATACCAACTGATTCCACCGAAAATTTGTAAGTAAGGAAGTTATCATGATGACTTTATTTAGTTTTTATCATTTGAAAGAGTCTTTTTAATTATTCTCCTGAGAATCATTAGTAATATATTATTATATTATATCATAATATTAATGATTCTTTCAAGATGTGCCAGCCTTAATTCTAAACTGGGTAGTAGAAACATAAGAAACTAAAAATTATAGCAATACAAATTTAGTTTCACTAACTAACTTATTTTCTATCATAACATTAAGAACAAACCAACAAGTAAAGAAAGAACAAGGATTTTATGAAAAAAATGTAATTTTAAAACCTATAGTATCTGTGTTTCAGAATTTCCAAAGCATATTATGATTACAATCTCTAAAATGCTGTTTATTTCTTAAATATGAAGCTAAGTTTCCAAAAGAAATATAAGTAGAATAGAGGATAAAATTTCAAGTTTCAAGGTTGAAATCACAGTTCAAGTTTGAATTAATCTGGCCTGAGTTTCAGATGGTCTCTAATCTACCATCTCTTAGACAATTATGACTCTCAGATTCAATAATTATTCAAGCATTCTTAATAATTTGGTTGATGACCCCATAAATTTCTTTGGTTTTGCATTACAATTGTAGTTCTACCAAAAATGATCTCTTAAGTGTAATCCATGTATCAACCAAGAGTCTAAGTAAATTAGAATATGCAATGGATAGAGATGTAAACTAATTGAGAGAGAGAGAGAGAGAGAGAGAGAGAGAGAGGAAGGGACAGAAGTGACTATAATAGACGTAGGAAAAAGCCCATGAAGTAATAAAAAGCTTTTCTTAATCTCTGAAAAATATTTATAAATATATATAGACATACCATTCATATTTATCATTAATTACTTAGAACTATACTTACTGCTTTGGATACACAATGAAAAGTAATAAAACATTCAGACTACAATCTGAAATTATTCCAAGATTTGATGTTCTTATTATGAAATCGATTTTTTATTTTATAAATAATCAAAATAAAATGAAGCTTATTTAAGGATTATTTCAAGTTTCCCTAAATGTAAATCTGATATTATAAGCAAAAGCAAGCATTTTGATATACAAGTATGAATCACAAATAACATAACAATATTTTCATTACCAGTGCTAATTTTGTATCAAATGAAGTACTGTGTTTTAGACAATAGTTCCCCTAATGCAACTCATAAAAAATGCGTAGAAATAAAGCAACTTATACCTCACTTACATATCCTAGGAAGTCACAGTTAGGCAAATTCAAAGGATAAGGATGATTTCAATTAGTAATAAGCATCTATGTCTGAATTTCCTTAACACAGGAAAAATGTCATCCAATTCTGCTTACCTGTTCTGCTGCTTCGGGTGCAATCTGACTCTGGAATAGAGGTACAGCAAATTGTATCTTTTTGGGACTGTTGGGCTCCATGATAATGATAAGAATTAGTCTGAGATGTGCAAGTCTCAGGAAGACTAACCCCAAGTGGTGACGGGAATGTATTTCCTCAGCCACACTCCACCCAGCCACACAGAGTGCTTTGTAATAAATAGCTGTAATTCCAGAGCAAGCAAATGAAGATGCTGAGGTCTGAGTTCCCTTCTTCAACATCCACAGTGATGCCTGAATTGCCTGTTTCCCCACCAATCTCTTGGAACTTCTCAGCACAATAGAGAAAAGAACAATAAGCTAATTGTGTGCCTTTTTACTAATACACATGCCAAGTATTCACTCAGCAGCTAATTGAAAATGCAATGCTAGACTTGAAGGACCTACTGCCCTGGGATTTGAAAGAAAAGCTCTCTCCACTGTACATTACTAACCGACTGCTCAAAAGTGCAATGTAAGCTCCCTTCGAGTATTGCAGGGATGGTCCATTCATTATTGATGAACATAAAGCAGGAAGTTTTTAGAGTTGGGGGCAGGGTTGGAATATGGAGTCATTTCATTTCTTTCACAGCAACTTATAAGTGAGAAGACACCTTCGTTATTTCAACATACAGTCACCAAATAGATGAATGGCCATGGAACATAAACCACAACCAATAGCATGTTTATGTTGCAAAAATAATGGGTTTAGTAAGACTGATCATAGCAAGTGAAGCATACACAGCATATTGAGGACTGACTTCTTGATGAATGAGCTGAGCAGATCTTAGTACAAGTTCCATCTTTACTACTGAAAATCCCTCTGGTCTTAAGCAAACTAGAGTGTATGTCTAGGCCACCAAATATTCATCAGAACAATGAGGGGGTTGGACTCAATTACCTTTTATTCTGTTCCAAGGTTCTATAATTGTAGTTCACAGTTTTCATTAAGGAGAAAAGTAATGGACAGTTAAATTTAGCAAACAGCTTGGAAGTCATTGCTATTGCAGTGACCTCTATTTTATTTCCTGGAGAAGCTGGTTATATTCTCTGATTTGGAAGAATACAAAGTGACTAGAAAACATTAATGGAAGGCTAATGTTATCCAATATTGTGGTTTATTGTCAATAGGGGGATATATTTAAACATAAAGTGCCGGGGGCAGGGAAAGCCGAGGAGGGTCAATTTCCACAACGATAGAAGATAATGGTCAGATTGGCTCCTGGAGAAGGCAGAGGAAGACATTGGCTTGATTTTCACATCTGTTAATGTCAAAGGGGAGGTAATACCATAGCCAGATGGCCTTCAGACATTCAGTCTTTTCATTGTACGTGTGAAGGAAGTCTGAAAATGAAGCTGCTTTAATGGGGGATCAAATCAATCCTTGAGTTCTCTATTTGCATATTGAAATATACTTTTATGAATGTTAGATTTTTATTCATTCATTATTATTTCAGGTATTTACAAATGACTTTTTTTAGATTCTGGATTTATTCCAGACTCTCTCTTAATGATGTGAGTTTCAGTTAAGTCTATAGAGAGTAATATGCATTATTCAAATAGCTTTTCCATGCCCACTACAGCGAAAAGTTAATGAAGATGGGCTGTGGAAGCATTTCAGTCAGACAACACAGCTGAACAGCTACAATTTATGTAATGGGTTCATATTTGTAATGAATAATAAGTATACAAAATATAACTTATATTTTGTGTGAACACTTTACAAACTTTGCCAGAAAGAAAATTTGAAGTACTATCATTAATGAATACTTCTCCACCCAGACCCCCCATCTTCCAGTAGGTAGGTGTCACACCCACCAGGTGCCGACAGCACCAGATTGGTCCCATCAACGGCCAAGATGCAGAGACTATAAAACCCAGCTCCTGGAGGAGAACAGCGCAGTCTCCTGCCCCTGTGCCTGGCTGTCCTCACCGGGGCCCCTTGGAGGGGGGAGGGTTGAGTTTCTCTTCCCGCCCCCCCGCCCCGAGAAGAGCCCCAGCAGCTGAGGACCTCCGGAGCCAGCCACGGCCATGCTGGGACCACTCTCCACATGTCCAGACGGGCCTCATGCATGAAAGAACTGGCAGAGGAACCCAGGCATGCGGGTCCCAGGGCTGAGGTCTCCAAGCCTACTCGAATTGGAACTGGGCCTTCTCCACCCAGACCCCCCATCTTCCAGTAAGTAGTTGTCACACTCACCAGCTGCCGACAGCACCAGGTTGGTTCCATCAATGGCCAAGACACAGAGACTATAAAACCCAGCTCCCGGAAGTGCGACATCTTATTATCTTTCCTTTGGAGAACCTGGCAGACTACAAAAAGTATCCTGCCCGCACGGCAGAGTCTGGCAAACTTCCCGTGTCATACTCAATATGCCAAATACCAGTAACAATGATGAGTCTCATCCTCCTAATCCTGAAAGAGCCTTGAAATGGCTCTTTTAAAATCTCAGGGCTAGGTAGAAGGAGACATTACTGGTGCCTGCTTGAGACAATTGACGAACAATAGGATGATCGTGATCGTGATCACTAATGAAATGCTTTTCTCTGAATTTTTCTACAAATTACATTAAAGGAAAGCAATAGCATATTTCTAGTAAAGAATTAATTCAAAATTTTACATAGTATAATGGCTAAAAGGATGAACTTGATAACCTTGACTTCAAACCCTGTCTCAACTACTTAGTCATCTTGGTCAGTAACAGAACTTTCTCATGAAGTTTAGATTAATTAATTCTTTAGAACTCATTAACTGTATGGCTTGCGCATTAAAAATCATATAGCTATTGCTTCTTTTTGAATTAGTTTTTCAAAATGCTTAAGGGCGTATTTTTAATGTGAATTACTAAAAATATCCTAAAATATCCTGAACTACTAAAAATAAAATTGGAGTAATTTTATATCAGTTAGGACAAGAAGTAACAAAATAAAATCCTACATATAAAATCCTAAATAAAAATCAAATGGTTCACTTACCAGTTATTTAGGCTACCTAAACCAGCAATAAAATCATAAAGAGACTATTTGGATTTTAGGCTTCTTCTATAGAAGTTCATTCAAGTGCATTCTTCACCTAAGTATCAATGCTTCTAAGTAGTTTTTGTAGATTTATTCCGACATACATTGACATATACCTGTTTCTCCTGTGGTCACAAGGTAATGAGCTGGGTTCTTTCTACATAGTACAACTGCTTGCATACTATCTTTTAACTACTCAGCATTTCATATCGCCACGATTCACATAGCAAGTATTTTTTTAATATAATACATTCCAAATTATCCAAGGTCTTTTTATGTGACAGAAGAATAGAAATTTTATTTGAGATGTTATTTTCTTAAGAATTACTTTAAGGGCTGATGTGTGTTTGGTGAGGAACATTTGCCATGCAATTGTGAGATCCCGGACGATGCAAGAAAACAAACAATAAAAAAAATTCAAGAATAACTTAATGCTACTTAGATCTGAAATAATATAAAATGTCTAATATGTTTATATGTAGCATAGCAATAGTAAGTAACATAATTTCCCCCTATTAGAAATAATATCTTACTCCTATATATCAAGTATCAGACCTAGTCTAAGTGCTTTACCTGCATTAATTTATATATAAAAACTCTTTGAAGATTGCATTGACATTTTCATCCCTAATTTGAAATGAAGAAACTGAGAATCACAGTATTTAGGTCCCTTGTCTAAGACCAACCAGCTAATGTGTAACAGAACTACATCTCTTAGTACAATGGCTTCTATTATATAGGGGCTAGTAGAAAAGTCTTTGGAAGATACCAGAATCTCTACAGGCCTTAAGTGTACTATCAATCAGTGTTTCATGGTGAAATATCTGAAGATGACATGACATATGAATAAAATGAAATAAATTAACATGATTATATATATTAAAAATAAGACCAGTACGATCTAACATTTCAAATCAGAAATCAATTTAAAACGGAGACTCTAGATTGGGTGTTAGCTGTAGCACTGTCCTCCCATTGTTCATCGATTTGCTCAAGCAGTCCCAGTAATGTCTCCATTGTGAGACTTGTTACTGTGTTTGGCATATCAAATACATCATGGGTAGCTTGCCAGGCTTTGTAGTGAGAGCGAAATATTCTTGGTAGCTTGCCGGGCTCTCCAAGAGGGGTGGAGGAATCGAACTCGGGTCAACCCAGCCGGCTGCGTGCAAGGCAAATGCCCTACCGCTGTGCTACCACGTTAGCTACCCAAAGTAATTTCAAATAAAGGCAATTTTTCTTTTCATTTTCTCTTTTTAAAAAAAAAGTAGTAAAATTTACTGTTACATATTTAAAATGCTTTTTAAATGAGTTATATCTTAGTCTTTCTCCAAGGTAAGCAATATTGAGGGTAAAGAAGGTAAAATATTGCAAAATAAGTCATTAGACATCACCTCATAGCTTGCCAATCTGTGATCTCCTCTACATTCCTTTACATTATCGTATTTTATTAGGAATGCATTAAGAAGAACCATACAATAAGAAGGTGGTTCTTCTTATTGCACATCCTTTTAAAAATATATCCTATCCTCATGACAAGGAAGGTCTTGTCATTTTTCCCTCTTAGTATTTAATTCTGCTTTGTTTAATTTTTTTGTAACAATTTCTAAGTATTCTTTTTGTCATCCCTCCTAATGTTTCCTTTTCCATTTAGCTTGAATCTTAAAAGGCTAGATGATGGTCTTCTAATCATTACTAAGTAACTCCTTTTGGGTTTTCCCCAGAAAACATAAAGGGCTTCTGTATACTGAATTTGACCACAGTGCTCCTTTCAAATTCTATACCTTGCTTTCAATATCTTAATAATAACTTAAAATATACTCAACATTTCCTTATTTTTAAAGAGGACATTACATATAAAATATGTCACTTTTTAATTATACATAATATTTTCATAAAGGGGCTGGAGTGATAGCACAGTGGTAGGGCATTTGCCTTGCATGCAGCCAACATGGCCGACTTGAGTTCGATTCCTCCGCCCCTCTCGGAGAACCCAGCAAGCTACCGAGAGTATCTCGCCCGCACGGCAGAGCCTGGCAAGCTCCCCGTGATGTACTCGATATGCCAAACGCAGTAACA